TCTATCTATCTATCTATCTATCTATCTATCTATCTATCTATCTATCTATCTATCTATCTATCTATCATCCAGTCCAGGTGGGGGCGGTACCGCACCACAGAACCGTCAGAAAACAGAAGAAGAAAAAAGACCCACGGAACTCTAACACCCACAATGCATTTCGGGTCGACCCGTTCAACGCGGCGACACCAGTTTCCGGTGCATGTTAGTTTCACAGCGCGCTGCGTCTTTTCAATTTATGTTTTTTTGTTTTGTTTTCAGTTTTAACTGAGTAGTTCGGGAATTGTTCAAAGAATTGATTGAATTTACCTGAAGGAGAGGAAACCAGCAGGCCGCCAACATGCCGAGAATTATGATAAAAGGAGGCGTTTGGCGCAACACTGAGGTACGTGTTTACATGGTTAGCATTATGCTAACTCCTGAACAGTAGAGCAGTGGGCTTAGGTTAGCATGAAGCTAGCTGCCTTTTTTTAACCGAAATCAGCTTGCAAGTGTAGTTTCTGTGGTTTTATTCGTTTAGTTAGTGCTCGAATAGATTTGAGCTGTATTAATTATGTGTTTATAGTGACTACAGAGCTACAAGTTAAGAGCTAGCAAACACCAACACAGATTTTGAGCTCACAAACATGATTAGGTTGTCATGTTTAACCTTTTTTTATATTTCTTATATTATTAAAAACTCATTATATTTAATAACTTGCAAAAAGCATTGAATGAAATCTGACCTTCATAATAGATCATCTGGTCAAACATCAAGAGACGAAACAAAAATAAATCTTGTCTCTTATAAACAATCTCATTTATTAAATCAGTCACCAACACCCTGTTGAATTAAATCTTCTGTTTTTGCTGTCTTAATATGTTTTACTGTCTAAACATGTTCTGCTAAAGTCAGAGTCAAATGTCATAAATTACATTTAGTCTTGAAGATTTTAAATAAGTTTTAGTTTGCACACACTGAGGATGTAGCAAGACAAAAATCAACAAGTTGTCAGAAATGAGCTGGAAGAAGAAGTGTTTTCCTGCCATCGATTGTTTCTTTGTGGTGTGAAAAAGTTTGCTAAATGTTTGTTTACGTTTTTGTTAATTACTCAGGATGAGATCCTCAAAGCAGCAGTGATGAAATATGGGAAAAACCAGTGGTCTCGTATCGCCTCGCTGCTGCACCGCAAGTCTGCCAAACAGTGCAAAGCCAGATGGTGAGTTGTTGGGTACATTCAGGTTTTGATCTGCTTTAACATGGTTGCGTGTTTTTATAAATATCTGTATTAATCAGTTTGATCTCAGCAATGATGAAGTGTGTTCACTCTGTTTCTGTGTGCAGGTACGAGTGGTTGGACCCAAGTATCAAAAAAACAGAGTGGTCCAGAGAGGAGGAGGAGAAGCTGCTTCACTTAGCCAAGCTGATGCCCACTCAGTGGAGGACCATCGCTCCCATCATTGGACGCACTGCTGCCCAGTGTCTGGAGCACTATGAATACCTGCTGTACGTGTTTGTTTTTACATAAACAAATACTCTACGTACTCTCAGTCTGATGAATGATGATGTGTACTGCAGTCAGATTTGAGTCTTTTGTTAATAATTATAAATTTTGTTAAACACAAAATTTATAACTGGATTTTTAAACACAGCTACCAATCAGAACTAAGGATTCACTGATGACACATTGTTTCAAACAAAGTACAGGATTCCTTATTAAATATTATTTATAATAAATTTAGAGACAAAGCAGCCCAGAGAGACAACGAAGAAGAGGTGGGAGATGACCCCAGAAAGTTAAAACCAGGAGAAATCGACCCAAACCCAGAGACGAAACCTGCCAGGCCGGACCCTGTGGACATGGATGAAGGTGAAGTAACACAACTAACACTGTTTTACATCAGTGCTTTGTTGAAGCACATCTGATTAGAAGATATGAGCAGTAATGTTTAGGGTTGGTATGGCAACCAACTTAGCTGTCCCTTTGGTGTACATTAAGACCAACAAGTATTACAGTGATTTTTTTTTGTGTCTGTTTTTCTGCCTCTCCTCTGCAGACGAGCTGGAGATGCTGTCAGAAGCCAGAGCTCGTCTGGCCAACACTCAGGGCAAGAAAGCGAAAAGGAAGGCCAGAGAGAAACAGCTGGAGGAGGCCAGGTTCGACTCAATCCATGCCTTCACACATCTGAACACATTCAGGCTCAGCTGAGCTTTGAAACAGGATCTAATGACTGTTGAACTGTTTGATGCAGACGACTGGCAGCTCTGCAGAAACGCAGGGAGCTGAGAGCTGCAGGCATCGCTGTTCAGAAGAAGAGGAAGAAGAAGAGAGGAGTGAACTACAACGCTGAAATCCCCTTTGAGAAGAAGCCTGCTCCGGTACCCGGCAGCTCTCCTTCACACTGCTGTGCAGGGTGGTGTGTGAAGTCTGAGTGAACCTGTGCTCTTTGTCTCAGGGCTTCTATGACACCAGCATGGAGCAGTACGACCCTCTGGAGCCCAACTTTAAACGCCTCAGACAGCAACACCTGGATGGAGAGCTGCGCAAGTCAGTAACACATTTAGACTTTGTATCACCAGTAGAAATGCTGTACAACATAATGAACACACAGGTGTATTTATTAACCCCTTAAATACTAGAGTTTGTGGCTCTCACTGATAAAAGCTGTGTTCCTGTAGTGAGCGCGAGGAGAGGGACAGGAAGAAGGATAAACAGAAGATAAAGAAGAAGAAAGAGAGTGATCTGCCCTCTGCCATCCTGCAGACCAGCGGAGTGGCAGAGTTCACAAAGAAACGGTCCAAACTGGTCTTACCTGCACCACAGGTGAGCAACACTGTGCTGCTGTTAGAGCTGAGACCCCCCGCTGAACACAGTCCTAGTGTTGAGCAGGTTTACATTTAAACTCAGCTGATGGGTTTTTATTCTGCAGGATTGTCTCAAACTCACAGGGTCCAGACCTGCTTCACAGGGGGACAACACCTAAACCAGGGCTTCTTAACCTTTTTGACCTCAGGGCCCAGTTTGTTGAACATAAAGAGACACAAGGCCCAGTCAGACATTACCATATGGATCAAAATGATAATTATTATAAATCTTGGTTTAATTTTTATTATATTTGCATTATAACTAAATTAAATACA